CCTTCCTTCCTTCCTTCCTTCCTTCCTTCCTTCCTTCCTTCCTTCCTGCTCCTTGCTTGCTTGCTTCCTTGCTTCCTTGCTTACTTACTTACTTACGTCGTAGTAGTAGTAGTAGTAGTTGTTGTTGTTGTTGTAGTGAACCCTATTCCTGTTATTGCCCGTGGGTGGTATTCAGTCAGGATCATCAACGCACAAAGATTCCACCTGTAAATATTTGTACATTACATATTTCCGAAAACGGTCTTTGGGTGAGCAGGAGTTTGTGCCAGTTCAAACAATGTTTTCAGTTCAGCGTCCACAAAAATGCCGCCAGAAAGGTATGACCTACTACTTGCAACACGACGCCGTGTGATGCCCACGGGCTTCCACAAAACGATGCCTTGGCGACAACGCTCGGAACTCGCAGCCAGCGATTTTGCCCTAAGACTCCAAGTGGAGGAGGAGCAGCCGGGCGTGAAACGGTTCTGCACAGGTGACCAGGCTGATGGGTTTGTAACCATGCTTTGTGTGCATGTGAGGGTTCGAATCTTCAATGAAGACTTACCAGAACACGTTTTGAACCAATCAAGAATACATTGAATGCATGCGGCGAAAACTATATAGATTGCTTCCGAATTGGATCCCACTGCAAGTGGGATCTTTATCGACTTAGGGCCCAGGCTCCCTGGCAGGTTGCTGACCGGCACCTCTCCCGCATCAACAAAAACCTGTCTTTTCGATTGCGGCCTGGGAGACTGGCACTCCAGGCGAAGAAGAAGCGGAGACTGCTGGCGCCGGTGACCGACTTGGAAGTGAAAGATGAGGCGACGGTGACGGACTTGGTTTGGCCTTTTAGATTTCAGAAACAACCGGCTGAGCTTTAGTCCTGGTAGATAACCACCAAGTCATGGATGCATGGTTTTGTTGATTGTTTTTTCTGGAGTTTCAACATGTTTATTTCATTGTTTGGGTTTATAGTTATTTATGCAATTTTATACCCTTGTAGTTGGTGCTTTGAGGGTCACGCTGGCACCCTGAAATCACTATTCTAGGCCAATGAAACTGCAGGGTTGTTCTAACAGCGCACCGCATACTTGGAGGTTTGTGGTAAGGTATCCCACCTTTGCTGTTTTTTGGTTTTATATTTTGCCACGTGGTGGGGAGAATAGAAGGTCAGATCATTTGAGGGTGCGGTTTTGCAGATTCCCTCAGGTGACGTCCCAGGTGATGTCGCCGGAAGCTATCCAGTGACGCGGCAAAGTCCTGTGTTCGAGTGATGAGCGGGGAAACCAGAGGCACCTGGAGGTGCTTCTGGGAATTGTTTGGGGTTTGCTGGCCGGATGGCAATGAAAAGGTGTGGATTCTGCAGGTGTGACTCATGTGGATCATGAGGGGGGCCACACGTCGATCATCAACCCTTTTACATTCCCCAAAGGACACCTCCATGCATTTGCTTTCCTACCTGCCGCCTGCCCCCCGAAGATGGCAATTGTCCGTGGAGGCCATACCACCTCTGTCTTCTCCGGCGGCAACTGCCTCATGAGTCCATCGAGACCAAGTGAGGCTTCACTAGGCGTGATGGAGTCCAAAGGATGCCGGTGGTTAGCAAGGATTTATGATAATGATATGTGTATAATCCCGGCTTGAAAGCACCCATCACATCAGTAGAGAGGGGATGTGACGATGAGTCTTATAGCAGAATGAACATGAAACGTGTTTTTCGTGCTTTATCGAACCTCATTTGGGCCACGGTTGGGTTCTAGGAGAGAATTTGCTCACTGCCCTAAGAGCAAGACTTTGGCGCGGCCTCACAGGGGATGCAGATGCACGGTCTCCTCAACGTCCAGGTGCACCACCTCCGATACATCTCGGTCTCAAGTTTGGAAACGAATCCTAGCTTTGCTGAACATGGTGGATATTCCGTTGGTTCACTTGGCCATTCGAATCGTTGGGAGAGTGATCAAAGCCCTGCAGTTTAGAAGCTTCAAGACATGCGGACGACTTCTCCGCTCAACAAAAGGCTGCTGTATCCCTACAATGTCCTAGAGCTTTCAAGCAAACGGATTATATACGGTCATGTATCGTATAGAATCTTATAGATACCAATATGAGACAATATGAGTCTATGGTTGTTGAAAGCAGTTTCAATGTCAACACCTGGAAAATGGTGCTGCGCTCAGATCGAATCTTCGTGTTTCGGGTTGAAAGTGGCAGAACTGGTGACCATGGTTTTGACTACGTTTTGATCATTTTGTTGAGTCTGACACCACCGATGGGTTTGGACCACCTGAGCTCGAAGCCTGGCAGGCACCGCGCCGTCGGCGAAGCCGCCGAAACCTCCGAAGCTGCCGCCAGGTGGGAGGATTTGGGATTTTGAGGTCTAAGGAGCCTCCGAAGCTGTCGCCAACTTTGGGACTAGCACCTCAAGCAACAGCCGTTGAAGTTTGGCACACTTTGATAAGGTGGCGGCTATCCAAGCGCGGTCCTGCCCGGAGGCTGGAACAAATGTGAGTCATTTGAAATGAAGGCAAAGGGCTGACTTGACAATTGAGCTGACGTGCATTCCCGGAGCATAAGAAAACAGCCCCTGAGAGCCATGAGCCAAGATTTATTGTTTCCTCGGAAGATCTAGCCCTGCCAGCTGTGGCACAGGCGCCCTGCGACCTGCCCAGAGCAACAGGATGGATGAGTTGTTGACGAAGTCAGAGGCTTGTCGCGAACCTGTCCCATCATGTCCTGTAGTCTCCAGTGTGAGAGCCATTTTGCACAGCTGGCCTCAAGCCATGGGTCGCAGCCGTTCAGGCTTTGCAACTGCTTGAAGCTAGGGGCTGCAATGACACAGGAATGCCCCTGCATTTGAGCATGAAACAGCAGACTTTGCTCCGGAGACCGAGCACACACGCTCCCAACAGTGCATGTTTGGCCAGAAGCGTGAATTTTGCTGAAAAGAAACATGCTTGCTTGAACAGCTGGAGGTGCCCTGTGCGTTAGTCATGCTGGGTTGATAAAGCGGACAGCTGAACAGCTGCATCCAAAACTGAGAAGAGCCCATATGTTCAAACCTTGAGAGGAATGCCTTGGCACAAACAAGCATGTCATCTCGTTTTGCAGAGACTCCTTGGTGCACGAAAGCGCCCGGGAACAAGGGCCTCGTCGGATGGCCCACCACCCAGTCTAGCAGCTGTCCGCCATGACGGAGGAGAGTGACGACATCAAAACTGGTAGCAGGGTCGGTCCTTTGGCATTTTCCGGTGACCTCGGCCTGCATATGGTAGGGTGGGAAGCTCATTTGGGGAAGATGGATCCAACCTTAAGTGTTCCTAAAAATCTAGAAACCAAATCATTAGTGCGAGCGCTATCCTGCGTCCAGTTACTAGCAGCACACTTGCAGGTAGTAGCTACAGCTACCTCAGTTCCTACTAGCTACCTCTAGCTACCTAGCTACCTCTAGCGACCTACCCCCGCCGGGCTTTAAAACAGAAACACAAGCAGATGTTTGTATTTTTCGTTGGGCTGCTTGGCCCTTCCTCGGAAACTTGTTTCTCTCGGTGCCCAAGGTGACTATGTCGAGATGGAGGAGGTCATTGGCACTGGAGCACAGGGTCAGGCAACTACGAAAGACACAGAAAACAACACCAACCACGAGAAACATATAGAAACATCAGGCCATCCCGATGCATGCTACTGCAGGCTACTTCAGACTATCCAGCCGAATCCAGTTGTGGATGGATAATCAAAAACCCACAGACCACACAGGAGATTGATGTCTTGACCCGACCCCACCATGCATGATTATTGCTGTTCCTATCAAAGAAATCCAGACCAGAATGCTTCTGGCAAATAATTGATGATTGTAGCTTGATCTAGCCTGGTCTATATTATGTGGTATTTTTGTCTTTGAGCTTCCGTGAAGGAAGAGGCAACCGCTAAGGTTGCCAGACTTTGAGCCCTTGAGATGCCATACTGACATATACTGACCACATACAAGTGCAAGTGGTAAAACAATGTTGTTTTCCCTTCTCGTCCTGTGGCAGGTGTTTGCTTGTCATCAATTGCAATCCCCCGGGCGTCGTTTAGCTGCCAAGGCTGGTCGGTGGCCGATTCAGATTGCTTTGACAAGTAACTGGGCAGGTCTCAAAAACTCCCCCTGCGGATTAGTCATCAGCTCGACTCCCCCAGCTCGATACCACTGTGACTGGGCGACTGGGCGACAAGCAGAGTTTTCCTTTGGCAGAGGTAACAAGGGGTAGAATGACTATGACCGCTATGATAAACTATGTATATATGCTTCTAGCTACTGGTAGCTTCTTGCTACAAGTAGTATATAATGACCTCCAACCTAATAGCGATGGCCTCCAACCTAGTAGCTATATATATATATACTGGTGTCATCCACTTTCAGTTTGTGAACATCCTTGACAGCCTTGCAGGTGGTGGACAGCCAACGCCTGATTCTGCTGGCTGAAGATCCTGATGAAGTGGTGAAGAAATTAGAGAGTGAGGTGGGAAAGGAGGAAACGAGACGATGGGCAAAACGTGACTTTTGCATGTGTGTTTTTGGCTGTTCGGATTTGTGTTTTCGGGCAGTGCAGGTCAGGATACTGAGAAATGCTGAGCACGCGCCGTGGCAGAAAGGTTCAAACTGGCAGCTGCCAAAAGACATGCAAAGTATGGCAAAGTGCCAAACGTGCAAGTGTCCTAAACCTGGGTGCCGGTAAAAACATGATGTTCATCATCATCCCTTTCATCAAGTGATTCGGGCATATTCGGGCAACTCGTTTGATTCAACGCTGTTAACTGTTAAGCTCTTCATGCTGTGCCCGGCTTCCTCAGGAACACTGTGTTAGCCTCTTTGCTACTCGTTGAACATGCACATTGAGAGGGGCGAGAGGGGCAGGCGCTGGACAGGCACGTCACTAGCTTCGGACTTTAAGAAGTTGTTGTATAAGCTTGTTGAAGCCTCATTTGGACTGGGGGTCCTGCCCCACATTTGCATGTCATTGTCCTTGTATTTTTTGGCTATGAGCAGAGGAGGCGTATGGAGATTAGTGGCAGAAGAACGTGTGTTGCCCGAGGAACTTCTTCATTTGTTTCTAAATATATCTATATAAATATATATATATATACTGTATCACCTCTCTTCCTCACCAGTCCACCACCTGTATCCACCTGTCACTTCCGTTTCTTCGCGGTTGGAATCACTTCAGAACAGCGCAGCAAATCTGTCTTTGCTGGTCAAGACTACCGTAGACCATTCTTCTCCATTTCTTCTTGATTCGGGGGCCGGGCCCCAGCTGCCCAAGCACTGAGGACATTTTCCGCACCAAGCGCTGGATCGTGTTGATCATGGAACGCCTGGAGGGTGGTGAGCTCTTCGAGCAAATCGCGGCTCGGAAAAAATGTTTGAAGGGTGGAGGGAGTGGAGGGAGTGGAGGGAGTGGAGGTGGATCTGTGAACGTGGGGCAAGTCCTGTAGAAGGACGACTTGAACAATACTCAAACCCATTGGGGGATGTATTTGTCCTAAAATCTACACACCCATGTCCATGTCGAAGAGAGAAGAAACACAGTCGCACTACACAGTTCGACCGTGCTGAACCGTACGCAGAAAAGGGAAAACTAGAATGATTAGTTTCAAATGTTTCCACAGCAATCAAGTGTTCTGATCCTTTTTCGGTTTGTAGTTGTAACATTGCACTTGTACTGTACCGGACCAACCTCAAGTCAAGAGATAAAAAGGGACCATGAAGATAAAGAAGGAATAGAAAAGGATGCCCGATCAATCCCGAAAGATATGATGTGTGTAGAAGAGAATATTTGTGTGAGGATGATTTTTACAGGATTTAATGTAAAGGAAACATTAAAGGATTGGTAATATAGAAATCGAGGTAAAATTAGTGTACGAAAATAAATCAAAAGGATCACCTGTAACCATCCTGTACCTTAGAGCTTGACTACGTGGTATCGTTGTATTAATGTGTATTGGAAACTCCCCCTGGCCAAGGGGGATGGGAACTTCCTTGAAGAACCCCCTATGATTGGAGTTGGTTCAGGAATAGTAGGTGCGCAGACGTCACGCTCCTGCACCTTGCACGACTTCTGAAAAGCTTGCTGACTATTTGCTCCTTTGGACACACGAGCTATATAGTGTTGGGAGGTGCACTTACTTTTTTGTGGAACAATTGTAAGGTAGTGTCGTAGCTTGGATGAGCAATGAAACATATGATAAGCATAAGCTCCCACACAATCAAGAACCGTTTGGCGAAACTTGGCAAAAAAGACGTTCGGCAGCTGACTCGTTCAGCTTAGAGGTCTGACAGGACCAGCACCATTTGGGTCCCCTTGAGGCGAAGAAGCGAGTCCTCAAGGAGCTGGAGGCCAAGTATGTGCCACGGCAGATTGATCAGTGGGAGACCAATGTCGGGAGATCAGTGGGAGAGCCACCTTTAGCACTTTTCGGTAAAGAAAGTGGGACGAGAAGGACCTAAGGTTTGTAAACCAGATGGTAAACAAAATCTTTGGTGCACTACTGGATTTCTGGTAAACTTGAGCTATGGCAAAACTAGCTTTCTTTACTAAACCTTGATTTTGGTGAAGTGGAGCACAACTAGGTCTCAGGTGAAGTAGACCTTTGGTGAAGCTCTGTTAAACTAGATCTTTGGTAAAAGTCGACTTTTGGTGAGGTACTTCGCTGCTACACTAGATTGCAAAATCATGTAAAGTCGACCTTTGCTAAACCAAATGGTGTAGTACCAGTTGCTTCCTAATTAGATAGATCTCTGGTGAGTTAGATTGCGAAAGATCTCCGCTAAACTAAATGCTTTCACTAGGGCAGATGGTAAGCCTGATCTCTCACAAACACGGTCTCTGACAAACTTGCTCAAGGGGAAACCAGGTCTCTTCTGTTAAACTAGAGCTCTGGCAAACTAGGTCTCTTTACCATCTTGATCTTTGGTAAAGTAGATCTCAGGTAAAGTAGACCTTTGGTAAACCAGATTGTAACCTAGCGCTCTGGCAACTCTGGCAAACGATATCCCTAGCAAGCTTGATCTGGCAAACTAAATTGTAAAATCAGATCTTTGGTAAACTAGATGGCATACCAAACTCTTGGTGAAGTAGAGCTCTACTTCTCTGGTGAAGTAGAGCTTTGCTGAAGTAGGTCGGTGCTAAACTACGTAGTCCTCTAGCAATCTGAAAGGTACTTGTAAACTAGACCCCTGGTAAACCAGACCTCTGATATGCCGCATCTTTGGTAAACTAATAAGCTAGACGAAAAGCCAGATCTATGGTAAAGGTGAAGTAGGGCCCTTTATCAGCAGATCTCGTTAAAGAACTGGGTCTCTGGTAAAGTAGATCCTGGTCAACTACGTCTTTGTCAAAGTGGATCCGTGGTGAACTAAATCCCTAGTGAAATTCAGGTTTGGTGAAGTAGGTCTCCTGAGCAGGTAGATGGTAAAGTAGATCTTTGGTACACTGAATGGTAAACTAAGCCCCTGGTATGGCTAGCTAGGCCACAAAACACCTGAGTTGAGTTTTGGACCAAAAAACTCATCAATTACTTCAGTGCACATGCATGATACTGGAAGCGCACAGAAAGTGCACTCCCACAATGGCCCGGACTCACAAAGAATGCCATGCCTCCAGATGTTTTGTATGTGAAGCAGGTGCTTGAAGCATGGGCAGATTTGATGTGTTTATTGACACCAAAAAAGGCCCAAAGACCGCTACTTCTGAATAAATAAGAGAATCATCATTCAGACGAGAACCTATGGATTCAGGAGTCGTACTTTCGCTTGCCATCTTCAGAGCCAGGGTGTATTGCTCCGAGCCCATCGAGTATGGGAGGAAAATGGAGAACAGTTCCCTAAACTGTTTGGTTTGGTTTTGGTGGTTTGAAATGGTTTGACCTCGTGAATGTGTGTTCGGGTCCACGCACACTCTGCCACCGTCTGCCACCCCATCCACACCCAGTTTTAGGTGATGAGGCAAATCGTCTCAGGGCTGTCCTTCCTCCACGGGAAGCACATTGCCCATCGAGACCTCAAGCCGGAGTGGCGCGGGCCGCGGGTGGTCTGTCTGGCGGCTGGGTAGTGTAGTGTGGGTCTGGGGGGGTTCCCACCCAGAAACCACATGGGTTTGTATTGGAATTCACGAGAATTCTCTGGAAATCATGATGAATTCATGGTTGGCTTCACCATGGGCTTCATGAAGAAACATGAAGAAACATGTCAATTTGGTGAAACGTCGAAGAATGCCGTCAATTTGTTTTTGTTGTCTTCTCTCATTCCGGGGTGATTTGACCCTCCATCCCCAAGAGTTAACGCCTTCTGGGTGAGGTGGGATACGCCGGGAGTAACACTTGCCCCCCGCGCACGCAACATGGCCGCACGGCCGCACGGCTGATCAGGAGAATATTCTCATCTCCAAGATGCGCTGGGCAGATCCGCCCAATCAGGACGTGGAAAGGCCAAACAATGGCAGTATGCTCGCGGAGGAAAAGTAGAGGGATGTGAATGAATTCGCGGTTCTGAATCTCCGGAGTGTGGGGCTCTCATCTCAAACACTTGATGCTAACTACATTTGTAGTGTAGGACTGCACCTTGTACGACATCAAGATTGCTGACTACGGCCTCTCAAAGTATCGGGAGGAGGACTGTTCTCGGCCGACTTTCTTGTTTTGCCGTGTGACTGTGTGGACTTTTCATCCTTGTTTCTCATCCGGTTTGCTTTGGTTTTGATGGCACTGTTAATGAGTGTCAGAGACCTACACTTGGGCAAGGACACAGTGTCATTGGTGCGGGAAATGAATGGACATTATAGAGTGTTGGGCTTTGCTGGAGAGCTCTTCAGGAGCTGAAGAGTTTGGTTGGAACTCCACAGTATTGGGCTCCAGAGATGCTGATGGGTCGTGGGAGGACTGCAGATGTTTTGTCACCGTGACTGCAGCTGGCACAGCACAATGCAGAATACCAGATACCTGATAGATGAACTCATACACTACAAAGAAGCAAGCGGGTAACTGGCAGCTTCGGGGGGACACAGATTTGATTACAGCAGGTCTGTCTTCGATCTGCCAAGCTGTGCAGGGGCACGTATGACGAACGAGTCGATCTATGGAGCTTGGGCGTACTGTAGGGGATCTCAGCGCAGGGGACAATCGACATGAGCCCTTCTATTCCTTTTCGACATCACGCTTTACCTCAAACCTTTTGTCGGATGTAAATTCTCGGATTTTTTGAGACTGTTTGAGATAGGACTTTGGTTCGAAACGAATCACATTTCTTCGCATGCCAGAGGCTGCTCGGTAGCCTGCGTATAATCAGCAACGTTCTTGCCACTGAAGCCTTCTTGGTTGTCGCCGAACAATTTGCGGCTTCGTTCTCACCGTTTCCTCCCGGCAGAGCAAACAGCTGATTCAATCCTTTTGAAACCTTGGGGACCCTTGGACGGATGGTTGATTTTGCAGAAGCCCTTAGTCCTTGCCATTGAGTGGTGACATTGGTGGACAGACAGATTCCCCACCACAGATTCGGCTTAGTGAACAAAGGAGAAGCCTGTTGTTGTAGGCAACAGTGCAAGACAGAATTGAGGAAAATGTAACTGTATGTAGCTGTGCTTGTCAACTTGTTTGTTGCTCGCAGAGGTGTCACCCAACCCATCAAACATGCAACCGCAGGAAAGGTGCAACGTAAACCAGTATGGTACTGCGCAACATGAAAATCCCTCTCTCTCTCTGTGTACTTTGTTCAAATACCTCTTCATCAAGGAATTGTTGCATTGTGATAGAGGGGACCCCCACTCTACCCTGGAAAATAAAAAATGGAGTGGTGTCAAAACCGTGCATTTTTGTCCAGCACGTTAGACGTCAGTCTTTTGGTCGCTGAGGCTCTATGTCATGCTCTACGGCCGATATCCTTTCAAAGGCAGCCCTGCAAGCTAGAAAAGCCCGTAACCAAACTCACACAAAAAAGAGAGGGATTGCTTGCTTCCCATCCAACATACCCGAAGCCTTAAAGCATTCCCAAATATGGGTTTCATAGTGAGCGAAATCCCTCGAAAGACCTGCACCAAAGTGTCGGAAGGAGCTTGTTCAAGAGTTCATGAAGTGACCGGATGATCCTTGCAGGCTTCTGAGTCTTGTAATAGAAACAGCATTTGCGTATTCTGATTCTTGGGGCAGCTGGTGTCTCACAGGCACGAGAACTCAAGCATTTGAGGGCCAAAACCAGCATTTTCACCCTTCTAATTCCATAAAGATCACTGAGATCTCTTCTGTGCCACCACTCTAGCACCCACTAGGAGGTTATGAACCCCAAAAGCAAACGAGGAAACACGATTTGTGTTTCCTACTACTCCCTTTTGTGACCCACAAAATCTGACATGTCCTTCTTTGTGCCTAGGCGAGAACGCAAATGAGCAGATCAAAGCAGCGCGCTTTGACCTCAGCCATCCCAAAAATGAGCCCTCTGAGGAGGCCAAGGACCTCATCAGGTGCGGAGTTGTTCAGTTCCGGCTGAGTGAAGGGGGGACCAGAATATGGTGTGTGTGTGTGCCCCTTGTAATCACAGGGATCCAGTCGGATTGTGCTTTCTTCTTTTTCCTTTGTTTTAAGCAGGGGGACATGGCGTGCGTTCAGGGACCATGTCCAACGAAGCTACCTGACGCACGGGATATGAGAGCTGATCACTCTCACGTACCTGCAATTTTCCAATTTTCCGAACGGCGTGAGGCCTCCTTTCCTTTTAAGACCTCCAGGATCCAGTGGCTCGTACGTGTACTCTTAGGAATTGGAACCCTAGGCCGGCGTGTGGCACCGCTTTCAGTTCAGTACACCCTATCCTAAGTGTGTGTCATTGTTGATTGCCATTGATTGCTGCTTAGTGTTTGTTGTGTGAGCACAGGGGAGTCGGGCTTTGTGAAGATTCTGTCCAGCATCCTGTTTTGGTGAAGTTGCTGGGATAGTGTGGAGGTGGGGTCCACCAAAGAAAACAAGTTGGTACTGGCCCTGGTACGGCTTGTTCTATTCCGGAAAGTCGAAAGACGGGGCTTACGCGTTGTTTGATGGTCCATCCACATCCAGTGATTCACCGTGGAAATATGATCCAGGCTATTGTGTTGTGCTTCTGGTGGCGTTCACCGTGACAGGAAGTTGCTGAAAGTGAACCCGAGCGAGCGGCTCTCTCTACAACACTGCCTGGAGCACCCATGGCTGGCCGAGGCGTTTGCTTCCGGTGCGTGGATAGATCGGTGGAAACAGACCGAAAACCAACCCAACCCAACCGACCCCCTCCATCACTGTGTTTCTTTGAATCACTGATTGGTGGATCGCACTCTGTTTAATGCTCAAATTTGATTGGTTCACATAGGTGAATACCATTTAAGAGCCTGCGGGTAAAGGGACATTGCCAGGAAAAACAAAACAACGAGGCAGAAAACTAAAAATAACAACAGAAAGGGCAAAAGAATGCAAACGAAATGTTCAAATTTCCGCATGTTGTGCCGATTTGCTTTGTTTTTTTAGGAGTCGCCTTTTGGGGTTTGCCTCTCTTCTCTCCAATCATTTTAACTGAAGAGTTGATGTACCAGCTGTCCCATCTACCCTGCAGGTGCTGGCAGGGCTCTAAAATTTATGTCTACGGGTGCTGTATGCAGTGAAGTTGCACTTGCAATGTTTATCACATGTTTTTTGGTAACAATGTAATGCAATGCAAAATGTTTCACTGCTCAACAGCCACCTGTAGCATCAGATTTTGACAGCTGCAGTCTGACACAGCTCATTGGCGAAGATGACTTAGGGATACTTAGGGTGAGATTCTCATCTATATATGTATTTATGTGTATTGTGAATTTCGAACCTTTCGGTCACTGAGGAACCAGTCTTGACCCACTCAGGTGTGTTCACGTCCGAAGCCACGAGTGTGCGAGGCCGCAAGGGTGGTGTAGGGTGGGTCACCCGTGACCTGAGCCATAGAAGCAGTGAGGACACTGCAGGGCGAGGCGCCCGACCGTTCGTACCAACCTTCAGGTGAGCTGTGAGTGGAAAACGCACGCGGCTGTGCGAGGGAAGGAGGATCTTTTGTTGCTACCTTTGTGTCAATCACATTGGTAGCGGAGCTACCGCTAAAGCTCCAGACAACACCTGACCCTTGCGCTTGGTTGTTGTTGACTGCGTGGTTGAGTCGGTGAATACGTTGTTTGGCCGCAAGGCAGTCGACAGGTTGCACATTGTCGTGGTGGTGTTGTCACAGAGTTGTTGAGCTGCGGTTTCCGGGGAGGAAACAGCCCAATGCCACCGGAAGGTGATTCAGCTGGCTCCAGTTCCTCCACAGGAGGTTTGAGCAATCTCCCATGGAGCCAGGTTCCATCTTTCAAGCCTGGTGAGACGGACCTCACTGAATGGTCACGGAAAGTAGAGTTCCTGGCATCACTATGGCCTCCAGAACAACTACACCTGCTTGCCCCACGAGCTGCATTGCAATGTGAGGGATCAGCCTTTCAGAGAGTTGCCAGACTGGACCCAAAGAAGCTGCGTGTTGGAAACTTGGAGGGAGTGAAGGCCATCGTGGAGGCCCTTGGAGGGATTTGGGGAAAATCCCGATTGGAGGACAAGTTTGAAAGGTTTGAGCGTGCAATCTACAGCACGGTCCAAAGAGCCGACGAGACCCATGAGAGCTATCTAGCTCGGCACGATCATCAATTCGAAGAGTTGCTGAGCATGAAGGTCGGCATGGATGAGTTTCGCGCATACATCTTGCTTCGCAACTCAGCCCTGAGCTCAGAAGACAAGAAGAGACTGATTGTTGAATCGCAGGGTTCACTGGAGTACAGAGAGGTGGTATCCAATCTGAAGCTCCTGGGGAGTCGATTCTTCCATGAGGTCCACTCCAGCGGAAAGCAGAACAATCCAAGGACCAAAACCTATGAGGCCAATGCGTTCATTGCCCAAGAAGCTGATGGTCACGACCAAGCACCCGACGAGCCCACCTACAATCTCGATGATTGGACCGAGGAAGAATGGATTGAGAGTCTTGCAAATGATGGTGACGAGGACGCCGCCATGATCATGGAGTATGAATCCACAATGTTGGACGCAGTGCAAGACAACGAAGATCTAGCATTGACACAATCATCATACATGGATGCCCGTCGCCGCCTGTCAGAGCGCTTCAAAAGCCGTGGGTTCTGGCCAAGGAAAAGGGAAAGGGGGTGAAAAAGGAAAGCGATCCCCCTACTCCTCGAAGTTTTCTGGCAATAGAAAGAGCCTCCAGCAGAGGATCATGGAGAGCAGCTGCAGGATTTGTGGCCGAAAAGGCCATTGGAAGGCTGAATGCCCGCAACGTGGATCTCAGTCGGTCCCATCGACAGCTGTTGCTCCTACACTGGTGACAGTGAATGATGAGCGGGACGCGCTGCCACTGGAGTTCATGGATTTGCCAGAGCTGACCAAAGAGACGCTCAACGCCACTCAAGAGAATACGAAACAAGTTGTGTTTGTGAATCAAGGGACACCGGTGTTCTGAGGGGTTTGTGGGAGACCAATGAAGGGGAAATCATTGATTTAGCCCACAAAGGGGAAATGATCACCGAGTGTGAGAATTTTGATGTCAGGACTAGCTTGCCAGAGAGTGCGTTTGCTAGCACCGCCCAATCACCTGAAGCCAAGTCGATGCATGACACCGAAGCCAGTGCATTCTCGAGCTTTTCAACTCGCGATGCCCTGGGAATCGTAGATACAGGTGCTACTAAGACCGTCATAGGAAGCGGTTTCGTAGCCAATCTCCTAGCCGCACTAAGGCCAGAGGTTCGGAAGCAGGTCCAAAGGTGTCGTTGTTCAGTGGTTTTTCGGTTTGGGAATCAAGGGACACTTGAAAGCAAGCACGCACTCGTTGTCCCAATCGGACCGCTGAAGCTCAATATTGCCATAGTGCCAGGCCATACACCTTTCCTGCTGTCGAATACTCTGCTCCGAGCCATCGGAGCCACCGTAGATGTAGCTGGCGAAGTGATCAAAAGCACTCTCTTGAAGCGCAATATTCCAATTCAGCTGAATGCCAAGGGTTTGTTTTTAGTTGATCTAAATGATCTGATCACACCCACCAGTCAAGATGCCGAAGCTGAACCTGCCGAGACCTTTGCCACTTTGAATTGCAAAAGCTTGCCAAGTGTCTCTGTCCAGAAGCCTGGACAAGTGCAGTCGGAAACCAAGACCATGATGAAACAGAACGTTCAGGTGAGGACAGGTCTTGTAACAAGCAGAATCCAACAGTTCGAAGCCGCCATGCCCGAATCAACAAAGACCCATACGAACACAAAGAAACCAAACGAACGTCCGAGTGTTCGCGGGGGTGAGAAAGTCTCATTCGAATCGGTTCCAGGGGGGTCCACCCCGGTGTCATCCGTTTTGGGTTCAAGACCGGATCTGTGCAATCACACACGTGCGACCATCCCATTCGTTCACCTGTGCCGCGTCACTATCATGCCGACCTCCGAAGCAGCCGCTCTGAGTGCCCGCTTGACACGTGTCATGGGGGAAGCAAAGAAGGAAGAAGCCCTCGATCAGCTCGAAGCCTTCAAGCTCCTATCACTGGACGAAATGGGCCAAGCCAAGATCGATTTCGGATCAGCCCATCTCGGTCGGACCTACTCGGAGATGTGGGAAAAGGAGGGCAAGTATGTGAAGTGGTTCCAGGCAAGTTACCACTCGTCGAACAAGGTCAACCATCAGAAGTTCATCCACTACATCTCACTGAGGGTGACCTATGCCGAGCATCAACTGGGTCTGAACAGCCAAGACCTGCAGCCATCACCAAGTCAGAGGCCACTTCATCCGGCTCTCAAGAGCAAGGCCAAGGCCAAGCCGATTCAGGAAGTGACCCCGCAGGACTTGGCAGATCTTGCCGAGGACGAATCCTGGGAACCAGTTCAGGAGATCGAGATCCAGCCAGAGATCTACACGGAGATGGCAGCCATGGACACCCGCCTTCAGACCATCGAAGGTGCGATGCAGGAGATCATTGCCCACCTCCGGGCTTCATGAGCTCGTCATGGCTAGACTCCTTCGAGGAAGCTGATATACATGTATCGTCCATGTGCCAAAAAGATGTCAGTCCAGGTAAGACTCACAGTCTGTCCAATAAATCCCATGCACTGGTTCAGCAAATCTCAAAGGAAGCCAGTCTAGCAAGGTGTGATCCAGTGATCTCGAACGGATGCAGCCGTCTACATTTGCTGGAAGTGTTTTGTCATGAGGCCAGTGAACTGACGAAGCAAGTCCAATTGCTGGGCGGCAGAGCCAACCGTTTTGGAAGGGCGCAGGGGGGCCTCAAAACCAAGGAGGGGAGAAGCGTTCTGTTTCAAATGGTGTGGAAACAAAGACCCCGTCACATATGGTTCAGTCCCACCTGTGGACCATGGAGCGCATGGAACACGTTCAATGAAATGAGATCAATCCAATTGTGTGAACATGTTCAACGAGAGAGAGAGAGAGAGAGTCACACTTGTTCGAACTTGCACTAGGAGTAGTCTTGCTTCGCATGTCACGTCAGCTAGGAAACCACATGCACTGGGAGCAGCCACGAAAATCCATCATGTTCAAGACCCCACTTCTGCAAGAGCTGTATTCATATACTCAGGAAGCCAATTTCGACATGTGTCGCGTAGGCCAGTTGACATGTCCAGAAACGAACAAACTCATACAAAAGGAGATGGCTGTAAGAACGACATCGCAAGAGATGTATGCCTCGTTGCATGGCCGGGTGTGTCGTCGAGATCATGAGCACAGACCCATTGCCGGATCCGTGACAACGCCTCTCGGGAGAATCACCGTCAGTAGCTATACAGAGAACTATCCAAGAAAGTTTGCAAGACAAGTAGCTAAGGTGATGTTGAAAGTGAAACATGAGCCATGGGTTACTGCCCTTGTAACCAGAGGAATAGATCAACCGAGTGAGGAAAGTGCATCCAAGCGGATCCGTGTGAGTTCTCCCATGCAGAAGTCCCAAGGTGGGCGACTGCCACCAACACCCCTGGAGCAATTGTCGAACGAGTGCAAGCGCCGCCGCATTGACGGCAAGACGGCCGAATCGCAGAGTATGAACATGTCACCTCAGAGACAACTAGAAGAAGAAATCATCAAGGACATCCAACCAATGTTGCCAAGAGTAGGGAAGACTTTTATCACAAACCACCAAATCTTGGAGAGGCTTCAAAACATGTTCCCCGAAAAAGAAATCAAGAAAGTTCAAGCATGTAAGGGATCAGATCGAACATTGCCACCGCCAAGGGATTTGGTAAAGAATGAGGCCCCATATCGTCGTGCCATCATCGTAAGCCGAATAGGGGGGGTGATCCAAGTAGAAAAGGACTGGGAATACTGGCAAGACCTGTCTCATCGGCAGCAAGTCCGCCCAGCACATCCCGCAAGAGTCAATATCACAATGTATGCATGTTTGCCCCAATCCAAGTCAGAAGCATCAGGTGATTCGACCGAACAGAATATGAGTCCCGAGGCAACGGGAACAAGCATCGAGCCGCAGGAGGCAACCGTCAGCCTGCCAAGTAGTGACCAAGCACCTGTCACAGAGCTGGATCCGGATCAGACCAAAGAGACAGGAGCGAGTTCGAGTCAACTCCATATGCCGAGCTTTGACCATGGCCCAAAGTTCAAGACCATATCAGCCAAAGAAAAATCGTTCTTGCTGAAATTGCATCAGAACCTAGGACACCCTCATGGTCAAAAGCTGTGTTCAATGCTGCGTCAACAGGGGTACTCACCCCGATTGTGTCAAGCTGCCATGGACCTAAGTTGTTCCGTACGTCAGAATACTAAGGAACCCAAACATCAAAGACCTTCTACAATCAAACGTGAGCTAGACTTCAACGACTGTATTGGGATAGATGGTGTTGTATACACGAATCTGGCAGGAACAAACTTCCACTTCTATCACATCATCGACTATGGAACAAACTACCAGGTAGCATGTGCAAGCCCAGGCAAAAGCAGTGATGATGCAATAGACAAGGTGCTCAATGGATGGCTCCAATGGGCAGGGGCTCCGATTGAGATTCACACAGACTCAGGGACGGAATTCACATCCAAGGAATTGTCACTTTTCTAGGCCAGTTCAACATCAAAGCAATAGTTACCCCACCAGGTGCACACTGGCAAATCGGAAAAGTAGAAAGACATGGTGGAATCCTACAGGAAATGCTCAAGAAGTATGAACAGGAACATCCAAATAACGTCATACACCAACCTGCAGACAGCACTATCGCACTGCACCTCTGCCAAGAATGCACTGAGCCAGAAACAGGGATACTTGCCAGAAACTCTTGTTTTTGGAAAAGGGTCCAGAATTCCAGCATCAATCTCATCGGACGAGCAATTGCCATCGCACCTCCTGGCAGACGATGACACCCAGGAAGGAATCAGATTTCGAGAAAAGCTGGCATACCGCGAAGCTGCACGACGAGCTTTTCACTGTGCAGACAACAGCTCTGCGTTGCGAAGAGCTGTTCTCCGGCGAAGCTGTCCTCACCGAGGATCCTACGACAGGGGAACTTGGGTGATGCTATGGAGACAGACTCCAACCCAACGGGGGTGGTTTGGTCCAGCCAGAGTCATCCAACAAGAAGATCCCCATTGTCTTTGGTGTAATCACGCAGGAAGCTTGGTAAAGATAGCCCCTGAACATGTTCGACCCGTAAGTGCCATGGAAGCCCAGCATATCCCCCGAGCTCTAAGTCCGATCGCAGGGATTGAAGGCGAAGATACACAAAATGCCAACATTCGTGAACAAGCACCCGCAACTCCACCAGAGAGCCAAGAAGATAGCAATATAATCCCACAACACGTAGGAACAGGAAACACATCGAATTCGTCAGAGGTCCAGCCAGATCAAGAGCCCTCGATTCCAGAGAGTCAAGTGTCTCCAGCGAGCCGACAAAGCATCGAATTGCCGAGTGACCCCGGCGGTCATCAGGATGCAGCAAGTGCGCCGGTCCCAAGCAAAGCATCCGATCTCAGTGATGAACTCGTATGTGAACTCCCTACTAAGTGTAGAAGATCAGGTCAACTGGTGCCAAACCCAAATAGACTCAGAAGCCGTAGGATGGAAAGCTGAATTCCTGTTTCCCCAAGAAACAATGATGAAATGGGATGAAAACTCACCAGCAACAGATCTTATCATGATGACTACCACCACCAAGCGTGACCGAACAGAAGTAAAGATGCACCAATTGTCCACCGAAGAACAAGCTCTCCTCCGTCAAGCAAAGGAAAAGGAGATCACAAATTGGTTAAACACAGGGACGGTGAGTAAAATCTTTCGGGATCAGCTGTGTCCGGAACAGGTAATGCGTTGCCGCTGGATATGCGTATGGAAACCCCTTGATGCTGACGACCTTCAAACCGGATCAACTGAGAACGTCAGACCAGGACCAAAGACCCATAAACCGAAAGCACGTCTAGTAGTCCTTGGATATCAAGATCCCCAGTTAGACAGCATACCCCGGGACTCGCCGACACTTGGAAAGCAATCCAAAATGCTCTTGTTGCAAGCAATATCATCCATGGGATGGACTCTGAAAAGCTTCGATATCAAAGCTGCATTTTTGCAAGGCAAAACGCAGGAAGATCGAGTTCTAGGCCTGGAACCTGTTGAAGAACTTCGAAAGGCATTGAAACTTCAACCCAATCAAATCTGCAAACTCGAAAAATCAGCCTACGGTTTGATCGATGCTCCTTATTTGTGGCATAAGGAATTGGATCGGACCCTTCGTGATTTGAACTTCATTCCAGCACCCTTCGACCCATGCGCATACGTACTATACAAACCAGGACAAAGCAAAATTTCGGGGGTCCTAGGAGTTCATGTTGACGATGGACTAGGTGGAGGAGATCAATACTTTGAAGAACAAATCTCAAAGCTGAAGCCAAATTCCCATTTGGATCAAAGAAAGTAGGTCAATTCACGTTCACTGGTGTTGAGATGAACCAACAGGCAGACAAAAGTATCATCATGTCCCAATCCAAGTGTGTAAGCAAGATTGAGCCAATCCACATGAATGCAAGCAGACGAACATGTCTGACGGATGAAGTGCCCTCCGAAGAGAGACACTCGCTCCGTGCACTTGTGGGAAGTCTTCAGTACGCGAGCATCAACACGAGACCGGATCTTTCAAGTCGACTAAGTTACATCCAAAGTGAGATCAACAAAGCCACGGTCCAAACGTTGCACGATGCCAACCGAGCAAAAACGATACAAAGACACATGCATCAGAATCCAACCCATCCCAATCAAGGATCTCAGATTCTTGTTATTCTCGGACGCATCATTTGCGTCGGCCAAGAGCCCAGAAAGTCACACAGGCATGATCATCTTGGCCACCCATAGGGATATAAGTGAGAACTATCAATGCCCAGTCAGCCCGTTGTCCTGGGGTTGCCGCAAGATCCAGAAAGTAGTTACGAGTACTTTGTCAGCCGAAACAACTTCGCTCCAAACAAGCTTAGACCAGCTATCTTGGATGAGACTCTATTGGGCATGGATCCAAAATCCCCAAGTCAATTGGAAACGACCACATGAGGTTTTTAAGAGTGAACCCAAACCAATCCAATCTACCACAGCCTTAGCCCAGTGTTTGCCACGATCAGTAGCTGTCACAGATTGCAAATCTTTGTATGATTTGGTTACCCGAACTGCTCAACCAAATTGCCAGGAATTCCGTACACAACTTCAAGCAAAGGCAATAAAAGATTTGCTATCCGAAGGCATTCAATTAAGATGGGTCCATACAGGAGCTCAGCTCGCTGATGCACTAACTAAGGTGATGCAAGGAACTTTCCTCCGATACACTTTGCAACGAGGCATGTATCAACTAAATGACGAACTGCAAGTGCTGAAAGAGCTGACAGCAGAACACGCCTTAGGTGGCTTGAGTCCGGGATCCCTCTAATGGGAGACCAGCAGCAAGAAGGATGATCGACACGCAACCAAAGAAAAAGATTGATAGAATTTTTGATGAGTGTGAATTTCGAACCTTTCGGTCACTGAGGAACCAGTCTTGACCCACTCAGGTGTGTTCACGTCCGAAGCCACGAGTGTGCGAGGCCGCAAGGGTGGTGTAGGGTGGGTCACCCGTGACCTGAGCCATAGAAGCAGTGAGGACACTGCAGGGCGAGGCGCCCGACCGTTCGTACCAACCTTCAGGTGAGCTGTGAGTGGAAAACGCACGCGGCTGTGCGAGGGAAGGAGGATCTTTTGTTGCTACCTTTGTGTCAATCACAGTGTATATATATATATATGTAAATATACATGTATATGTCTTCTTCGTAACGGTTCATGGTCTTGGTCTTGGCGGCTACCTCCACGGTCACCGTGCGCACCCTGCGCAGCCTGGCTCTGCGGCTGCCCGTGTGGCAGCCCAGCCTGTTTCAGCCCAGCCAGCAGCTCTAGTGGTTGCCGCAGCAGAGCGGAAGCTGCCGCCGCCCTTGGATTTGAAGCAATTGCTGAAGCTACAGTCGTGGCCCCAGGCCTATCCAAGAAAAACAAATTGCTATCCGGTGATGAAGCACACCGCCCGTAGATTCGTTGCCCCTAGTAGCGTCCTTGCTCCTAGTAGTAAGGCCAGGAGCCCCTAGTAGCGTCCTTGTTCCGTTCGTAGCGATGCCCCTTGCTCCTAGTAGCGTCCGATCGCTCCTACCGTCCGAGGATGTCCTTGGGCCGATCCTTGCAGATCGCCTGCCTGGCCTGCCGCCAGAGCCATCCGGCGCTCGCGGCCATGGTTCGGCAGACCATCACGCAGGTGAACAGCGGGGCATTCTCCGGCAGCGTGGGGTGGGGTGGGTGCAGATCCTGGAGGCTTTTGGGGACATGAAATGGCAAGGACCATGAAGGACTCTGAAGGACCTATGGAGGATGAGAACTTTCCTTTGGGACAAAAGAAGAAGCAGTGACAATTGTAAATGAGAGAATACAAACATTTCATGCCGTTCGCCACGTACATTTCATGCATACAGTAGCTCCGCATTATGTAACATGACACCGAGAGAGACATGAGATGATTGTCCAATTTTACTGCAGTTTCCATTCTGTATTCTGTATCATTAATACTCATTGAATGCTCAGAGGTTTCACCCAGCAAGTTAGCTTGGACAGCATGATACGGGACGTCCAATGAAACTTACCAAAGAAAGATACCCTGATCGATGTCCCAAAACCTGAGGAACGCAAGGGGGAACATCGTAGTAGCGCCCTTGCTCCTGGTAGCAAGGCCAGGAGCCCCTAGTAGCTTCTTGTTCCTAGTAGCGATGCCAGGAGCCCCTAGTAGCGTTCTTGCTCCTAGTTTGGCTGTGAGTGCACTCCGCAAACTTTTGAGCATAGCTCCCGTTTGCCAGGCCTTCATGCTATGGCAGCATGCCTTAAAAGTCGTCGGCCAGTATGCTCAGGCCAAATTGTAACTTGTGCTCTGAATTGTTGTGGCAGCAGTTTGCACATACCTGTGAAATATGTGCAAGCTGCTTTTTGCGAAAATGAGCTTGCATTTGCAGACTTCCAAGCACCTTGAGGAAGTGACTTTGCAATGATATGCGATGATACACAGTCCAAATGTGCTTGAGATTGAGATTGTCCAATCAAGTGTTGTGAACTCAACGCGAGCATAACCTGTGTCTAGGTCGCTCAGAAGGTCACCGAACGCGTGCTGCCGGACTTGGATTTGGCGGTTCAGGAACCATCGGGCAACCATCGTAGCTGTCAAGCCTCGTATCGTATTGGGAGGAGTGATGTGGTTGTAGAATACAAGGAAGAGAAGTGAAGAGAACAGGTGCCTGGTGAGGGTCAGAGGTTGGTCATGTTCATTCATGTTCATTGACCGTCGGAAAGTCGTGATGTTGTGCTTCGATGATCTTTGAAGGCGACCGAAGAAACACGGACAGACATGGATCACAGTGGCCTGGTATTTGACGTACAAACTCTCTCGTGAATGGTGAACTTGGTTTTCTATGGGAGGACGCAAACTGGGAAACCGTGGAAAAGCACTACAGAAGCGTCCACGGTTCCCCTCCCGCAGTTGTGCGAAAAATTATGTTTCAGAGTCACCTTTACACATGGGATCACATGGGGCATAGAAGATTTAAAGTACTGTAAGACAGTAGGCCGTAGGCCTGGAGTGGATGGACTTTACTGTTGGACGACTCAAAAAACAGTAAGAAGCTGTGGCCGATCAACCACAGGAAGCTCAGCCAAATCTGGGCGTCGAACTTCTTGGAATGGTGGAAGGCAAGGGTGTTTCTATTTGGTGCAAGGATGTGTACGGTTCGTTCTAGAAATTTGCAGCCTGCCATTGGAATCTCCAGGAATCTGCATGTGATTCTCCCAAAGTTATTGTGTTTGCATGTGTTTGCATGTCAAGCGAGACCTGGTGGGACGATGCTGGCTGTTGGTAGTCATTCGTCGGGGCACACGCCATGAGGCTGGATCCAACAGATGACCATGGATGGCGACACCACACGGCGCCTTTGCGATGAGCTGTCGAAACAGATGGGCGATCTCATCACAGAGGCGAAAGAAGTTGAGTTGGATGAACAAAACAGGTTTGCAGGCTGAATGTGCGATTACTTCATCAGCACAGGATGAATTGCTATAGATTGCTTGTTGAGTACTGAGTCGACGAGGATGGCTAGCTGTGTCATTAAAGTGACTTTCCCTGATCTTCCCCATCCGGCCTTGCCGATTCAGGCGCAGAAGGAGCGTGTGCTCAGCGAGGCTGGCCGATTCTTCTGTGTTGGAGTGTAGTGCCGGTCCTCAGAGGTTGAGGATAAAATATGCAAACAACATCAAACAACAAAGAGGAGAGTGTCTCAGTTCCATGAGTTCCATGTTGAAGACTCCTTGAAATATGTTTGATTCGAGGTTGGGGGTTTCTCGAGTTCTTCACATCGGATCGGTACCTTTGATTCTGGTTTGTGTGGTAAAGGAACCCACACCTGATATTAATGTGGTAAAAGGACCCACAAATTACATACATACACATTAATATGTGAACAAAGGAGGTACTGTAATGTCCAAAGTGCTCACAGGTCTCAACCATTTGGTCGCAAGGCCCCACAGGTGCCACGCCCAGAAGCCATTTCCAATGGTGCAGATCAAACGAGGCTGGGGTGAGATGCTGGTCAACAAGGATCCTTGAAATGCATTGTTTTATGTTGTGCCTGCAGACTTCTTCAGTGATTTTCACTGCAAGTTGTTACATGCAGATTGTGATGCACACACCAAAGATGTCAAAAGCCTTGGGCCTGACCTAGATGGGGCGTTCATTTCCTGAGGGACAAGGATTGCGCAGATTCGCATTAGGACAATCTCTTTCATCTTGACTCCGCACAAAACAATCCAATTTGCAGATGGGTTCAATGGGGTATTTGGACGGCAGGCAAGTTCTTCTTGACGGTCTCGTGGCATTTGCTGAGCAAATGTCCAAGGGTGCCGCTGATGCCTGGGAACCAAGACGCGATCTTTCTTGTCGTCCATATATGGTTGAACAGCTTGTGTTTGGATCTAGAGCCATTGGAGCCATTTGAGTGCCTTCGGACTTGAAACCGTCCCGAGCCGCCCAAGTTCAAACCTTGTTAAGATTGCCTGTTGTAAGAACAGTTGGTCTTCAATCTCCAGCTCTAGGACGTTTGTTGTGAAGATGTAAGTGAGTGGTCGCGCTGCATTGGAAAGTTTTGAGCTCATGCTGCTCAGGAAGGCAAAAGTCAAGAGCTCGTGGAATTGCTCTTCATGAGTGCAGCCCTCAGACGAGAGTGGGTGAAGCCTCAATGCAGTCACACTCCCCTCATAGCTTGTGGCTAAGCTCACAATGCAAAGCACAACGTCTCAGCCCACTAGATGCTGCGTGAATATGTCCTTGCTTTGAAATGTGTCATTATCGGTTTCCGGTGGAGACCACAAGTGACACATATGCGAAGATATGCGAAGGCCCGCTGTTTCACAATGACTTGGATGATTCCAGGTTCGAGTTCACGGTTCAAGTTCCGTTTTGGAGCCAATGGAATCACTCCTTCCTTGGCTTTTTGCATCTTTTTGTCCCTTCGAGGTCCTGGTATGGGAGCTCCGAGACTTGAAGCTGGAGAGAGACAGCGCCCTGGTCAGGTCAGGAAGAGTCCTTCGTCCTCCGCTCTTCGACCCTATGCCGGACGGGGCAATCTAGAAAACGCTTTATACGGCTGATTCAGCGCCCTGTGATAGTTTCTTTCTCCCCATCAAGACATCAACTCAATTGGAAATACTTGAGCCGCTCGAGCCCCAGAATGAGCTTCTACAGCAAAGGCGGTACTTTTTAGTACGGATGGTGTCACGACTGTCACGACATGGATTCCAGCAAACGTACAGCAAATGGTGCTTTTGGCATAAGGGTCTTCGGAATTAAGCTTGAACAGCTGGGGGAAAGGCTGAGACACAAAGGTCAACTGCTGTGGCATGAGCACTGCATCCTACAAGAGCGCAAGCCGTGCACTGCATTGCTTCGACGTTTGGTTTCTGAATTCGGCCCGCTTTGACATGAGGGCTTGGTTGTCCCCTCTTCCTCCAGTTTTTGGAAGAAGGTTCAGCCACAGTGCCAGAGTGAGATACCCCAGCTTCAGCTGTAATGTCGCTTCAGCTGTAATGCTGTAATGATTTAAGTGCTGAAAGTACAAAGCAAGAGTGAGCTGGTTTGGGTTTCGACACCAAGGTTGCTTCCTTTTCGGAGTGTTAGGAAGCAACAAGAAGCTACTAGGAACAAAGGGCATCGCTACTAGGAGCAAGGACGCTACTAGGGGCTCCTGGCCGTACTACTAGGAACAAGAAGCTACTAGGAAGCCGTGTTTCTACTAGCTTCTTGTTCCTAGTAGTAAGGCACTTGTTACTAGTAGCGATGCACTTGTTCCTACTTGATGGATGTTTAAGAGTGATAGAAGAGCACCCGAGTCGCGAGACAAAAGCCATGGGCTGCCGACACAGATTATGGTGTGTCAAATGTTGGTCAACCTCCTTGCTGGGTCTTCCTGGATTTGGATTTGTTGATTTAAAGCGATAGTTGTCTTTTGACCTTGCTAAGGATTCCTGAGACAAAGAGCACCAGCAGTGAAGAAGGCACGGGAAGCTTGCTTAGAAGCTGTTGACAGAAAACAGAAGGTGACACAGGCTACTCCCCAAACACTTCGGACAAGTTTGACCATCCCGCCATCATGCATAATTGCCGCTGCCGAGCCGTTGCCTTACTTTCATGGATGCACGCAGTGTATGTCTCGCTTGCGACAAGGGAAGCCAGAGACTGGTCAGATTGGCTACACTTCGGATTCTTGGCTGAGGTAATGAGCCCCAAGTCTATCAGAATGAATCTATGCATAGAATGCTTATATATCTACAGCAACTCTGCAGTGCCACATATCTATGGTAGCCTATTCATGCTTGACTGTCGTACGAAAGTGTTCAATAAGTTGGACATGGGCAGAGCGACTTGCGAGGCTAATGGGCTCAATGGATTTCGGTTATAGCCAAGAGACTTCAAAGTGCAAGTTTCATGGAGCTTACCGCCTTACCGCATCATTTCTGTGACATGATGATTGCACGCTTGGATCCAAAGAAAGGACAAACATGTTCACACAAACAAACACCATTATTTTGTGGAGTTCTGTCAATGTTTTTCAATGAAGAGTTGGTCCATACCAGTCACTTCCCTTAACATCCCAGCTCTTCTTCATCCACCTGGTCCATTCTTCACAGGCAAGTGTGCAAGACTTTTCTGCGTGTTGCTACAAGTTTAGGTGGTTGATTATTGAGAAAAGGAGAGAGGAGAACATTTCAGCACTTGGACAATCGGTAACATTCGACAGCAGTCTCCAAAACGACTTCCTCACCTCAGAAATCACAGGGATCCCAGTGTTGGTCAGGTCCGAAATCTCGAGTCTTCACCACCCCCTACACTAGTAGCGTCATTGCTCCTAGTAGTATGGCCAGGAGCCCCTGCGATGCCAGGAGCCCCTAGTAGCGTCATTGCTCCTAATAGCGATGC